GGCACATAGGCCATGGGAACATATGGCTAAGATGCTATGTAAACATATTGGATAGCTGCAGATGATTGGTGTTATCCTGATGGAAGAAAGGTTGATACAGAGAAGTATAGGGAATGGTTGTACCTGTTGCAAGATGAACACTTTTCGGCATTAATCTGTGTAAAGTAGAACCAAACCTGTGCCTCTTCATCTTCTTCTACCCCTTCCCAGTTACATGCCTTTCCACTGCACTGAAGGGTCCTTGTGCCCCTGGGAGATTTTCTAGCTCTTCTGCGTAGGTGCAATAACAGGAGCATTTAGTTCCTCCTTTTCCTTTGCATTTTCTCTCAGAGGCTTCGCATTTCCCTGCAATTTCCCATCCTCACCGATCAGGATCTGATATTCCTGCCCATACTTATCTTTGCAGAAGGTTCTCCCTTCTCCTTTTCTCTCCTTACCTGCTTACAGTCAGTCTGAGAAGTCCTGCCCTCTCTCTCGTTCTTTCCCCTATAATAGTTTTTATTTTCTTGACGCTTCTACTAATACGCTCCAGTTTTGGTGGAAAGATTCATCTTGAGAGAGATGTCACTGATGGACCCTTCTCTCTCTAGTGGATTGAAAAAAATCTAGCTAATGTAACACCTTCATGTTTACATACATATGTATTTGGGCACCAAACTTCAGGAAGATTTGGTTATTGTTGATCTTCTCATGAAAAGCTTATTTTTTAAAAAAATATATTTGGAGTTGCCTGAATAATTTCTTAGATGGAGAGTGTAACTGAACCTAAGTCATATCTTATAATTAAATTGCCATTTTATTTTAAAAACATTTGAAGTAAGATTTGAAATATACTTTTAAGCTCATGTTCACTTCTCCCTCTCTACTTCTCTCTCATATGCACAAAGTCCTGCAATCTGTTATTCACACTCAATATTGGGTTCAGTGAAAAGAAGCAAACAACCCCTCCCCACACACCTTTTTAGTCAAATGTTCTGTGCACTAATCCGAAAACACTTAATATGTGAGGATTTCTTCCTTCTCTATTGAATTCACTACTCATGTCACAGCAAATCCTGCAAACCAGTATGGTGAATCAAAGCTTTGATTTATGGCCAAGTAAAAAAAAAGCCTTTTTCACTAGACCCACTCGGTAGCACTTTAGTATTCAGAATTACTGTCACTGGGTTCTTCTCTCTCATGAAATCCTGACATTGCTAATAAGAGAGGAAGATACCTCTTAGGTGAATGCAGAAGAGCGTGAGAAACCAGCTGGGACTGTGTGGGATTAAACTTGGCAATGGATAGGTTGTTTTGTTTTTCTAGTTGGCTCGAGTTGCGATACATGAAGATTTGCCTTTTTAATCTGGTACTGGGAGAAGAGGAGATGAGCTGTCTGGTAGATGGAGGAGTGGGAAGATTGGTGGTGGTGAGGGTCAGGTGCTGTTGAATGGAAGTTGCCCTTCCCTTCCCTCTTTTACATGTGTCGGAAATGACTGCGGTGTTGCATAGGAAGTAAACTGTACAGCCTTATTTTAGGTGGAGTTTTGTGTAGTAACAGGGTTACGCTAGCTAAGACTTTCTATGTCCTGCTGCAGTTGTTGTGGCAAGCCTCTCCTTTGCTGAACCTTCTTCTGATCTCATTAATGAGTGATGTGCAGCTGAGTTGTGTCATGACAAGCAACCAAAGTGTGCATCCATGTTATCGGTCAGGACTGCTTTCCTGTTCACCAGTGAGCATTTATCTGTGAGACCAAACTAGAGCTGGTTTGAAACAAACCCATTCAAAATGCATATGTGGATTTTGAGCCCAGGCATGAACTGTTTCACCCTACAGATCCACAGCTGTGCCACATAATTTGCAAACATTGATATAGTCTCAGTGACCAACTGTGAAACTCATTAACTCAACATTTGCCTCCCAGACTAAAGACAAATATTTCTTGCAGTAGTAGAATTGTTTCAAGCAATGACACCAATTGTGGTGACACTTCGTAATTATGCCTGCGTCTTATTTCTGCTCTTTGCTAGACAAAGCCCCAGAGTGTTGTGCCCCATCTAATGCTGTTGCTCTGTTGTAAACCTGTCTCTGAGGTGCTCTATCCCTCAGATCCATCAGGAATTAGCCTCAGCAGCATGCCGTCTTGAGAATGACAACCCAAAGAGAAGCACGTTGACTACAAATCTGCTCAGGGAGGCCCAAGTCAAGATGCAGTAAGTGGTGCTGTCAGAGCCTGCATTGAGCCCCTGCCACACTGACCAGGTAGTTCTCCCTGAAGCTCTCTGGAAATGTGCTGTGTCAGACTCAGTAGTCACTGAGTCATGCTGTGTTAAGGGCCATTTGTCCTATAACAGGGTAACCTGATAGTGTCATACTTCAAAAAAATCCTGCCGTTTTGCTGTAGAGCAGATGGCTGCTGTAAAACCTGTATTGTTAATTGCTTTAAAGCTATCTCTCTAGAGCCTGTCACAGCAAAATGCGTCTGTTTGCTATGGAGATATGTCAGACATGGCAAACTGACCCAACAGAAGTAACGCCACGTCCTTTCATCTGCAGTCCTCCCTGGAGTGCGTATGGAGACAGATGGCCTAACCCCCCCCAGCCAGTAAGACCGTGGTTAGAGTGTGGGAGCTGTGTTTTTTTATGAGACCTTAGGTAGACTGTTTTCCTCGAGTGCTGTTTCACCGAAACCTGCTACTTTCGGTATCCAAAACTGAATTTCTTTCTGATACGGCTGTGGAGGGGAGGCCCTGTCCTGCTTTCCTGAGTTATTTTTGTGGAGTGTCCTCCTCTGTGTAGGTTGGTTAGTTAGATGATGAAAGCTAATTTAATGGCCAGTCTGTGACAGAGGAGTGCGGAGAGATAAGTGGCTGAGGGCAGGCTCAGGACACTTGAAACACTGGCGCTCAGATGAACAGAACGACTTTTCCATGTTTGATTAGGCCGCACCAGTCTCCAACATCCACTTCTACAAGGAGTCTCCACTATCTGTTGCTGAGTGGTGAGATGTGTTGTTGGGGCTTCCACACAGCAAAGACAACCTCACTGTCATCTTCAGCTCTTTTTTTCTTTCATTTGGGGATCATAGATGACTGACTTTCTCCACCTCACCCAAGTGGAAGGCAAGGCCCTAATCACCCTGTTATTTGATTGATTTCTTCTTGTTGATTCTATGATTTCTTCCTGACATGCTGATGAGGCCTCCCTATCTATAGAAACACCCATCTTCTCCTCAGATGCTCCCACTGGCCTCAGTCCATTGCAGCTGTGCTAAGAGCTTGTAGCACCATCCCTTTAGCATAAACCTAGGGCTTTGAAGAAAATTAACTTGTTTGCGTAGATAGCACAAATGGGAACATTTTGAAAGGGCAGCTTGATTATTGAGTTTGGGTAATTTGGCCTCAGATTTCAGACTTGGGATTGGTCAGAGACTGAGAACAAAAACAGTTCCTCGCAGATGTACCGTGGTGTGCTGCCAGCGCCTGAACAGGAGGTTCCTGCAGACACTTCCTTTGCTCATGAGTCTGTCTTTGCAGCCAGTTTGTGGGAAGTAGGGTTGTGTGCCTGCTTGAAGGATCTGCTTGTGTCTGTGTGTTTGTGCACTTAAGAGAAGGCAAAGGAGAGTGAGAATGGGAGCAGCAAGTAAGAATCTAGATATCTGTTTTTTCCAAGTTGCATCCAAACACTTTCTCAGAAGTCTAAACAAAGAAAAGAGGCAACAAACATGCATTAAATACGACTTTGCTCAAAATGTTTCTGCCTTGTGCCTTATGGGTAACTGGGAGTATACTGGGGATATGGCATGGTTCCATCTGTACTACGTGGTGTAAAACAAACATTTTCTCCTGGAAGGAAGAGTTGCTTGTCTTTCACTTGCAAGCTTTTGTTCTTTTGTTTGTGTGATCCCTGTCCTTTGGTACAATCACTTTTAGGCTAGAGAAGTAGTTTTTCTTAAGTACCTTGTTCAACGACTGGTCTGTAGAGACAACTCTGAAGTATTCAGTGAAGCAGTGAAGAACAGCCTCACTTGCAATCACTCAGACCTTACCTTTTCTTAGGTGGTGAAATATTTACCCAAGGTCAAACTTCCTCCAGTACAAATGGAGCTAAAAACAAGAGCTTTATTCTCTCTGAAAAGGCAGAATTCCTTGAGACGTCACAGCATATAATAATTAGGAGGAGTGTGTAGGATCAGGGGATGTCCTGAAGACTTATCCCTGCTCCAGACATGAGTATTTCCAAATTATCCAGGAACAAATTCTGCTCTCAGTATTGAATAGCATCTTGGTTAGCAGATAGCCTCTGCAGAGGCAGTAGGGCCAGGAGTAAGGTGTTGGGACGGATTCAACAGAGCCTTTGTACGGGTACTTAACTTTAAATGTATACACAGGTTAATGAAGCTGAGAAGGCATCACTGATCATCTTATCCAATGTCTTGCCAAAATTTTCTCTGAGTCTTATAACATGTTTGCACGTTTCTCATGTCCATTGAGCAAAAAATAAAAGAACATGCTCTCTTCAGAAGTGCCCGTACACTTATGCTTAACTTCAGGGATGTGTTTATTAAGTGAAGCACTTGTAGATGGGTGAATTCTGAAATGCCTGTGGGTAATGCTAGGCAACAGTCAGAGGTGGTTGATCTTCATGAGACTGCTTCTGGAGAGAGATGGGGTGCCCCAGAGGGCAGTTTTTAGAGTACCCATTTCTCTCCATTGACTCTGGAAGGGTGCAAAGGTCATAAATTAGACATCATGATTAGATGCCTCATGTGGATCTGTATCGTCGCCCTCTTTCTCTTGAATAATTGTTTCATATCTATAAGATGCAGTCTTATGGGTTTAATCCTAGAAGTCCTTATAATACCCAGTGCTAGTGTAGGAAGCAAACTTACCTAAACCAGCTCTGCCAGTGGTTCCCTCCTGCCCTCCAGTCCCTCCCAACTCTCTCATCCCTATGTTCCTCACATTCATTTCTGCCATTTCCCCTCCTGTGCTAACGGCCAAAGAAAATAATGAATTAGAGACCATTTCTTCTCTCTGCTTTGTATTTCCACTTCATTTTCTCTCTAAAGCTTTTCTTGTAGGGTTTTTTTTTTGTCTTTTCTAAAGAAACCTCTCTTGGGTTTGTCTCTGTTGTACAGCTGCATAAGAGTCAGGAATGGTGATTTGATAAACATCATTTGTCAGAAGTCATTTTTTGGTGTTTCTGCCAGACTAGAGTTTCTGGGACATGGCACAGAAACTGGAGGGAATTCAGAGGAGAGCTGTATGTATGGTCAGCGCTTGCTTAGGAGTATGGAAATATAAAACTTCCAAAGGAGAACTAAAAGAACAGAAACGTGTTCAGCCTGAAAGGAAAAGCATGGGTGAAAGTGCGTGGGTGAGGGAAAGGCATAGCTGCTACCTCTTAGTAAGTTAAAGAGATTTTACAAAGAATGCGGTGTGCTTGTTCTCATTACTCAGTGAAGGTAGAGCAAAGTATAAAAAGCCTCAATTACAGCAGGGGGAATGGAGCTTAAATTTTAGGAAAAACTTGGCAGCTTTGTAGTTATTGGTGTTACAAGTTATTGAATGTCCCTAGATGTGATGTGCAACATGAGAGAAAATACCCTGTGAGGCAGAGCTGAAAAAGGAATATTGCAGTCCATCCTACCAGGATGGGGAATGGACTAGTGAGTTCAGCAGAGTGCTGTGAGGATGATGCATGGCTCACCAACAGATCGGTTCATCAGGAGATCAGCAGGGACACAGAGGTGGCCAAACAGGGACTAATGGTACACATTATGACTCATATTTGTGGTCCCACTTGATTACTGAGTGAATCTCTTTAGAACTGGGGATGGCTCCAAATAGCACAGAGCTGGGCACAGAAGAGGGGTAGAAAAGAGAGGCAGCTATGAGAAGTAAGGCTGCCAAGGGAGAAGATGTAGGATTGTCAAAGGCCCCACAGGCTACATCTGTGCCACGACATTAATTTGAGGTTTGAGTTTGCACTCAGACACTCCAGGCTGTCTGCCTGCTGGCCCGCACTTCCGCGTCAGTCTGGGATGAGCCTGCTGGATTCTTGGGCAGCAGCGTCTGGGCACAGTGAGGGACGTGCTGGCTTACAGCAAGCCTCTCTCCATGAAGCACTGTAGACACAACTGCTCAGCCCTAGGTGCAGAAAGCTGTAAACCACAACCAGGCACAGCTAGCTAAGATGTATGGAAATAGCCCAAGTAATTAGGAGCACAAGTTCACTTTGGCAAAGGAGTATGTGCTCCCTAATCACTTTGGTATATTCTCCCCGCCCCCAAAAAATATATAGAAGAAAGAAGGAAGGTCTATGCAGAGAACACAAATAGATGTAAGGCTGTTGGACTGGAAAGGTGAGCTAGGGAAGAAATAACTAAAATAACTTGAAAAGCTAGGAAAGAGAGTGAAACAGTTAAACACATTAAAGAGAGATTGGAAAAGAAAAACATTTGGAGAAAAGATAGGGTTGGCAATAGGAAAAAAGGTAGGCAAGAAAGAGGAAAAAGTGAAAATATTTTTTAAGATGTGAAGGAAATGAGAGTCAGATAATACACTGTGGAGGTAGTCATGCTAAGCATTCGGAGCATGGTGATGAATGTGGCCCTATAGTTAGATAGCAGAAGAAAATGTTCTGTATAGACTTACACAGTATCCTGTTTGAGAGAAGTGAACTTGAGCAATTGCTGCCAGGGATTTTTAGAAAGAGAATAATTTTCTTTTGAACAATAGCAAAGTCTAATTCAAAATCACTGTGCAATAAGTAGAAATTGCATCGATGTATGAAAAATTAAGAAGCCATCCAGTATTATCACAGTGTCTTCCTTCTGCCTGTTTTGCAGCCCTCCCCCTTTCTTTTCAGTTCTTGTTCCAAATTAAGTATAGGGTCAATCTTTTTTTCCTTAGCAGTTGCATCAGCCATAGGAATGCATCACATGGTGAAAGAGTATGAATAATTCAGAACAAAATTTTGAATCATTTAAAAAGCAGAAGCTTCACATTTCATTGTTAACCTGTTCCCATATAACATGGAATCTACAAAAAACATGTTGCAATTTCTGGAGCAAAACTATTTCAAGTATTTGAAAATATTCTTGCATTCATTCCATTCTATCCAAAGAATATTTCAAACTCAAGAGTTTTCCAAAACTGCGTTTCACGTTTCAGGAAAAAATCAGAAGATACTTAAATACTGTGTATGTGCTGCCTAAACGTGAAACACCATACATATTTCCAGAAATTATTGAGGCTATAAAATGTGATCACCTTTGCCTCTAAGATTGATGGAAAATGTAACATTTAGTTAACCAAAACTGACAGTATCAGGGAATTAACATGATCTTCTGCTATAATTATCATGCATATATATGCCACCATCATTGCTCGTTAGTGTGGATTTTTGGCTCCTGTAATATCAGCATGACTAGAAAACAGCCTTTGACTGGGCCTAAGCCAAAAAGCTTAGCAACAAAAACACAAAGAGAAAAGGCAGTGCTATACAGAGAGGATTTCTTTTTCTAGTGGTAAGAGCAGGAGGTCGGAGTGAGGAGTTTTACAATTTGTTCCCCAGTCTAGTCACCGATTCAGTGTGTGGCCTTTCAAGAGGGACTTTATCCTCTGCTCACTGCAGGTTCATGCCTCGATTTCCTCATCTGTGAAGCAACAATAGCGAGACCAAACCACGTTGCAGTCACTCACTACCAGTGAGTGACCGCACGACACAGCATTTCTAAAGCCCATAGAGACCCTCCAGCAAGAAATTGCTACAGAGAAGGCAAACGTGGTGCTGATCACCTCACAGGCATGCATCGTGATTAATGTCTCGGGCAGTTGTTCAGGGCACTGAGGCCGCTGGTTATGATGGCATTAATACGCGTTTGCATCGCTCTGACTGCAGTATTAGCACCCGCGTTCCACAGAGGGTATCAGGGCTGTGCCCTCCAGGGATGGTTGGGGTTCTCCTACCATTCGGTTCCCGCCCTGTTGATCTCTTCCCACCAGCACTCTGTCGGCTCACCGAGGCTCTGGGCTGCCGGCATGCAGGCATAGTTCCACAGTCTGTCGGAGCCTTCCTTCTTGCTGAAAACACTCCTGACGGCCACGATCACCTGCCCGTGCGGGCACTGGAAGTTGAAACCCTGGCGGTACACGTTGACCCATTCATCATTATCTCCGTAGTTATAGGGGCCGTAGTAATAGTCACCGTACTGGCCCCATGCCACGGTCACCAGAGGCAGGAATACACAGAGAAGGATGAGGTCCATCCTGAGGATGATCCTGGCTTAGAAATGCCCCACTGGTTTGTTGGGCTGGCCGTTTTATATCGCCTCTAACATTTGGCTTCCAGATGTTATGCTTCCAGATCCAAGTGCAGTGTGTCATTGCTTAGCAAACCTTCTCTGAGTTAAAGACACGTCCAATTACTTTTAAGGTGGAATTCTGCAAGTACAGTTAAGTCTGCAAGCCCTAAGTGTAGGGTCTTCCCACTGCCACAAACCATCTGTGATCCCTTGCTGCAGAGCTACTGTATAGAGCAGCTGTCATAGACATCACGCTTTTATCCTCAAGACAGCAGTTAAGTTTGAAAACTACTTTCTTTGAAAGTAAAACTCTATTTGAAGTTACCGTTTTCCATAATTAGTAACATACAACAAAATGTGATCATGTCTGTGTCTCCCCACCCTCTATTCCCTAAATATGTGTGACATGATTCTGCCAGTCCCTAGAAAGAAGGAAATTGGGTGAGGTGGGGGAATTCACTGCTCCTGTTGTAAAAAATCCTTTAGACATTTTGGGTTGGTTTGGTTGGAAGGGAGGTGGAGTCTGAATGACTGAGACTCTGGCTTGGCATGGAAACAGCCCACCCTGAGAAGCAGGGCATTGGCTTCTTCCGTGCAGAACTAATTTTGCTATGACTGTAAAACTGTGGGCTTGGCAGATGTTTTAAAGTGAGGATAAAGCACATAAGCAAGTTACAGTGAGATAAGCTTCATGTGTCACCATAGCCTATTGAAATCTTTAAGCAAGGCCCTTTAAGCTACCTTGCATTTATCGTGCTAGAAACGTGAGGCTACTGCTGAGGAACTGCTGTGACGTAAGTTCAAAACCTGACTTGCCATTTGGAAACGTGTTTATATGCTGCATCCTCAGGTAATTTCTTTATCAGGAGCCCACTCTATTCAGGAGAGTGTGGAATGGTGTTCTTTACTTAACTGTACTTGATCCGTAGAAAACTGTGGGACTTGAGCATGTTTTAGTAAGACAGTCCAAAGTTAATCTAACGTAGACTGCGTATGTGTATGTTGCCTATGCTATGTTACTAGTGAAATGTGTGACCCTTGGAACAGCTCCTGGTTCAGATCCTCTGTCTTCCAGTGAAATCACTGCAAAAGAATCAGAGACTGTTTCTTGCTGCAAGTCTCTCCTCAAAAAAAAAAAAAAAAAAAAAAAAAAAGGAGAAGAAAGTGTATGAGCTTTTATTCTGTTGCTAATACTGTTATAAAGAACATCTGTGATGGGTAACAGTGGACTTGCTCTTCTCTAGGGATCTCCAAACCCAACATGCCTGGTCATTGTTTTGCAGGACCATAAGCATCCCAGGAGGTGGGTGCCTTTACTAACTAGACCCAGATCTCAAAAGCTGCCTTCAGCCTCATTAACCAGGCGCTTTTGTGTCTTTAGCTAATGGCTTTTTTTTTTTTTTTTTTTTGTAGCAGAGCGTTGTTTGACAAAACTGCAAGCGGGGATTGAGGTCCTTGCTAGGAGCACAGTGCAGCAATATCTCAGTTGTCCATGGTCACAGTCAGTGCAGATCCACATGAACCTGGCAGCTGAGAGTTGCTGGTCTAGCTCAGTGCCTCACCTCCAGCTGTAGCAGCCTCAGATGCCATGGGAAGAAGGCTATGGAGCTGTCCTCCTCTAGATCTTAGGTAACAGTAGGGGACACTGGTAGCCAAAGTCTAAAGAGAGAGGAAATTTAAAATTAAAACCCCCATAGTTATCCAGTGGGCACCAGAGTGCAGACTTGAACTGCATGATCTCAAATGAGATTTTCAGCTAACTCAATAATGTTTTTTTCCCTCTTACTTCCTTAAACACATAGTCAACATCTGGGAGCACTGCACACTGCTGTGTATGCCTGAGAGGCATTCTGGATAATGTTTTAGTAGGAAGCATCACATTCTTATGTGTATATGATCCTCACCTCACATAACCCTTTATAAGCATCATTCCTTGGAAGGAAATCCTCACATAACCCACACAAAATCAGGGGCAAGAGGGGATGAGAAGGAGAAGGAGGGCTCTATGGAGAGTAGGGGACAGTCTTCCTTTGCCTACCTTTGACATGCGTGTGAAGCTTTGAGGTGTCTGTTGACACTTCCTACACACAGTCAACCCTTCCTGATCCCAGTTGGTGGACAGGGTGTCACTTCCATGCTGCACTGTGATCAAGAAGTGGTTTGGCTTGGGGAAAGAGCTGTGCAGGGAAGATAGTGAACATGAGAGATGTGGAACTACAATTCTCTGGAGCAGTCATGGCAGAGCAGATGTCCTGAGCAGGGACTGCCTGAAAATCTACAGTTCTGTGTTTCTGGATCTAATGCATTCTGGGAACTTTTAATATTAAATGTCATGCTTCATTCTGATACTGAATAAAAATAGAAGAGAGCAGAATTTCTTACAGGAGGGACATGATGGCTTTTAGTCACCTTGGAGAAGGGTGATATTTGTGAGTGGGAGAAACTGTGATTTTAAAATTCCTGTAGGGGTTAAAAAAAGAGAATAGTGTGCATACATGAATTTCGTTTCTGAGTTATGCTTGTTCAGCTCTGCAGTTCACAGCTGCTTAGTTCGTGGAGCAAAGCTGAGGCTCCATGCGACTTGCTTTGCAAACATTTCTCACCATTGCTCCAACCCAGATAATTCCACTGATGTTGCCAGTGCTGAGAGTCACAATTTTAGCTGTGTTTCCACTGAGTCACTGGCATGTTAACTGCTATGCCTTATTCTGTTCTGGCCACTAAGTCAAACGTAGTAGTGCAAAAGTCACTGTCTAGAAAAGCTGCAATCTAGTCTGCAGCTTGGTGACTTTGCTTGTCTTCGGCTAGAGTTTGCACTAGGAGAAAACTTAATGATATTTAAAAATCAATCCTTCTCTGAAATTACCCTTTAATTTGACTTTTAAAATGTCAGCTGCCTGCCTCACACATGCAATCTTTGGAAAAGCAGAAAGTGTCAATGAAGTAGTAAATACGAGGTGCTAAGACCAGCCTTTTGTTATCAGTTCCTTGCTGTGGAATCTATATTGGCTGGTAATTTTATTCCCTATCAGTTCTTAGAAATGCTGCATTTAATCCCCAAACAAGAATTTAATTTCTGTCTTGCCCAGTGATGCTGGATGTAAGTGATTTTTCTTGATACTCCCCCTCCCTGGCCTAAGTTGGAAGTTAACTCAATGTCCTTTGCAACCAGATTGTTCAGTGTTTCTCTCCTGCTGCAGACACTAGGTGCAGCATTACTTAGTGCTGCAGGTGTTACTAGTGCTCTGGAGCCATTCGGAGAAATGCTGCAGTATTCTCTTACCACGTTACAGCCATGAAATACAGCGAGATTGCAGTGCTTTCCACTCAAATCGCAGATGCAGTACTACTATTTGACTGAATAACGGTAGTCAGCTTAATGGGTTTTATTTTAGCATGCAAACTCTGTACTAAAATATGAGAAAGAACAGAAGAGCTTTATTCATTATTTGGCAAACACAGAGACACTAGAGCTGCCATGAGAATAGCAAGGGTTCAGACTTGGTCAGTGACAGGTACAACTAGACAACCTGTGTCTACAAAACTAGGTTGTATGAAAATAGTGTCGTCTGATTTTATTGGGGTAGCTGTGCTGCTGAAATTCCTGCGTTTGCAAAGGTCTGACTCGTGGGCAACCAGTTTTTTATCCTACTATGAGGGCAGAAGGGGCATATAAGGGTGTTATCCCACAGCACTTCATCCTTTAGATGCACAAGAGTGATTCCATCCCATATTACTCAGGACTATACCCAGAAGTGAAGCTTTGCGTTTTGTGCTAGTGAAGGAGACAGTGTGTATCCCCTGAGCCCTGAAGTCCTCTGTACACAAAATGGATATGGCAGAAGGGGTGACAGTAGCAGCAGCAATGTATCTGCTTCCAAGCTAATGCAACCACATCATGGCATTTCACAGTGAGAAGAAAGCGTTTTTCATGTCAGCTCATTGCATCAGTGAGGTCACACATTTTGAACTCATTTTCCATGTTTTATTACACACTGTCTCAGAGTGATGCTGGCAGTTCTGATAAAGTCGAGTGGCTTGGATGAGTCAGGGAGGCTGCATCATCTGGGAGCTGTAAATTGAATTCAGTTAGTGATTACTTTTCCGTGCCATCTTTGCAGCATGACTTTTTTTTTTTCGTAAGCTTCCTGCACTGTCAGTTTTTATAAAAGTGTGAGGATTTGGGGTGCTTTTATTATGTTTTTGAAATGAGTTTACAAAAGCCTTGGTAACGTGGAGAAGGATGAAGCTGCTAGAAAGCCAGGCTTCACAAGGGGCAAATATATATCCTTGTCAACTTTTTAGCTCAAAAGTTATTACGTTCTTTCAAACTAATGTAAAAGGCTGAAGTTCATTTGTCAAGGTTCCCTACTGTTAATGGTATTTTTTCTAGCATCTTTCACTTGATGTTCCCAAAGTACTTTGATCAAGTTCAATCACTTTCTTGAAAAGTAAAAAATGTTAAAACCCCCTTATTTTACTTGATAGGTCCAGTGATCTGCCCAATGTCCACCAGTACCTCAGGGCTGGAAACACATTTTAAACTCAGGCATCTAGACTGTCAGCATCAGACTCTAGCCCTGGGAAAGCACACCTTTCCCAACCCCTTCTTCCTGCCACTTCCCTACAGAGACGCTCGTTCTACTTCTAATTTGCGTAGCTCTTTGTTTGTAAAAGGGAAGCTACTACTTAAGATCCTGTGATACTAGAAGATATTGCAGAGCTGTTTTCTCTTTGGAAGTAGCTGTAGAAAATTTGGATACGATACTACCTGAAATATTGCTGAGGAGAAAAAAGCGTTAGCTGCAGTGCTATTTTTCCAAGGTTATTGTAGCCTTTTGATTGCTTTTATAATAGCTTCCTGCTCGCATGTGTAGTATTAAATCGTGGGTTAAGTAATAGAAGCAAACAGGAAATGCAAAACTTAAGTCATAAAGTCTCTGAGGAAAGGGTAAGGAAGCTGC